ATACGAGGTCAGCAAGCGCCTGACGGATGTCTTGGCCATTTCGTCAAGGCTACCGTGTACAAGGCAATCCGTGGCCCAATATCTGGAGACAGGCAAAGGCAAAACCGAGGACGAGGATGACGAGAAGACGACGGAGCCACGGCTGTACGTCACCCACCCAGGGATTTGCGGAACGGCGATTATGCCGCTTCCGCTGATACTCGAGTACTGCATGCTGATTGCCTTTTATGTGGCGCGATGGGTGGGCAGTCCATGGCATACGGTCAGCATAGAGAAGGGGGCGACGGCCATGGTGTGGCTAGCGCTTGTGAGTCAGAGCACCCTGGACAGCATCGAGGCAAATGAGGGCGTGGGCAAATGGGGGAGCGCAACAGACTTTTGGGGACAGGAGCGTGTAGATCGCACCGAGGTGCCGGGGTGGGGTTGGGGAGGCAAGATTGGGGAAGAGGGCAGGAGGAGAGGCAGGGATCCGTATGCAAAGGACCTGTGCAAGGAGAGCCAGGAGCGGTTTGTCGAGACTGGGACCAAATGCTGGGAGCAGATGGAAAGGCTGCGTGTCGAATGGGAGGATCGGCTGCGTAGTGCTGGAGTCGGTGTGGACATGTCGTGAGGCAGCAATCTTGTTGGCACATGGGAGAACCTGGGCAGACAGACAGACATTCGGACAGGGTGTATGTTGAGTATATACGTACATACGTATGTAAGTAGACATGTAAGTACATGGTACCGTGTGTGTGTATTATTGGTATTGTTTCTAATGGGGTGTAATATTGGTGGTGGTGGTGGTGGTGGTGGAGCAAGGTTTGGGCTAAGTAGAGTTGCCATGCTTGCCCCGCTTCTGCATGCAACAATGTCATGCTCAAAGGCCCAGCCAAAGAGCGCAAAAGGCCGAGGAGGTGAAGAGGGCGCATGGCAGGTACATGTACTAGCTGGCGACCGACATGAGTCCGAGCATCGGAGAATGGTCCGATGGGCGATCACTGAAGATGGGTATGTAGTGTAGTGCAGTCTGTACATACTTACTATGTGGTAAGTACGTACTGTTTTACTAACATGGCCGACTTGAGGCTCGGGCCTGTGCCGGCGAGAGCTGACAGGTGAAGGGCGGGTGCTAAGTAGCTCAACAGCCCGAGTCGGTCGAGGGCGTGGGGTTCGCGAGCAAAAAGCCCCGACGACAAGTTGCCAAAGCAACTGAGGCGAAGAAAAAGTATATCATGACATGCGTCGGCCGTCTGTCCATGTCTTGAAGCTGTGTGGATGGCAGCTTGGCAAAAAAGCACGTGACGGAACCATCCATGAGCGTAGAACCAATGCAGTGCTACTGAGGACAGTTGGGTCCAGCCCACCGACGCCCAGCGACAGCCACGGCCCTAGGGACGCGCCGCCCGTTTTACCATGGGAGGCGGCCATCCAACAGCAGGGCGAGCTGGCGCGTCCGTGTTTGTATGGGCACAGAGGATGTGTGCGCAAGTATGGATGGATGTGCATATGTGATGTGGAGAGAGGGAGAGGGGGAGGGGGCGTTCGTGACGCCATGCAGGCCTCATGCAGGTCGGGCAGGGAGGCGGGCGCCCAAGGACAAGGGGGGCGGCGCCCCTCGAAGCCCCCCATCTCCCCACGCACTCGCCGGCGGCGGACGGTTGCACTGGAAACGCGGACAGTGGAAAAGTGGACAGCGGACATTGGACAGCTACTAATAAAAGGCGGGCGCCCAACATGCAATGGCAGCATGGCAGCCCGTTGGACTGGGCCGTTCACTAATAAAATGCTAGAGCACTGCCAAGGAAGGGCTCCCGTTGTGCCTCTGTTTTCCACTTGCCCCTTCCCCTTCCCGCTTGACCCTTTAGGGCTTAAGGCGGCTCCCAGTGGCAGGTGGCGGTGGTGGCGGCCCTTGATGCCCGATTCATCACCCCCTTTGACCATTGTAAATGAACTGTGCCATTGACCTCAAGTCTGCTTTTGACGTGCACCACCACCACCACCACCACCACCACTACTACTACTCCTCGACGTGCGCTAACAAGCCCCGTACCGTGCGCCCTCGTTCTCATTCTTCTTTCTCGTCGCCACATTGCTTTTGCCACACTTGCGCGTGTCATCACGCGTCCTAATGCAACCTATACACTAACCCAAATACTCGGCCGCCACTTTTACTCTCCCACAATCACAAGCATTGTACATACATACAAACAAACATTACATACATACACACACGTGTGAGGAGGTTACAGTACAATTCACAGCGACGCGTCCAGCAACCAATCAATGGAACCCAAGGGCGATCCGCTCCCGAGCGACTTCCCTCCCATCTTCACACGCGACACTACACTTGGCGCCCTCTTGTGCGCACCACCGGCATACATTGTGCTCGCATACGACTCGACATTTACAACCGCCTAGGACCTTTGTGCTAGAAACAAGGTCGTGATTTTGGTCTCTTGTTCCCTCATTTATATTCCCTACCTCCAGCCAAAACCCACGCCATCTGTGTTCAGAATCCCTATACCAACATGTCTACTTCGCCCTCTCTGCGCTCCTCCTCGTTTGGAGACATGCCGAGTCCCTCTACGCCAGATTCCACACCATCTGCCGCCTCACGGGGAGGATATTTCTCTGTTATCCCCAAGTCCGAGTACCTCAAAAATGCAATCCATGCACGGAGGGCCCAACCAAGTCCATTCCTACCGCCTCAGGATTTGATACCCAAGTCTTCTTCGCCTGCACCAAGCTCCGCACAGCAAAGAACGTCCCGAGTCTCACCGGATATCTTTCTCCAGTATGCTCTATCCGAAGAACAAACAGCGCCTGTTTCTCCCGTCCAGCGGAGGCGACCCTCCGACTTTGGCTTTGCGACATCCAAGACGAACAGGGAACTTAGCAAAGAGGTTGAAAGGCTCAAGGAAAGTCTCATGACTGCCAACCTGCGGGTGGAGCTGCTCAGCAGACACAAAAAGGAATCACAAGACAAACTTGCCTCAGCCTTGGAAACAATAGAGCGCCTCGAGCCCATCGAAGACGAGGTCCATGATCTCCGCGCTGAAAATAAAAAACTAAAGCTTAGAGTCAACAGCATGAAAGAGGAAATGGCACGTCTCAACAAAGTCAACGAGGATCATCGCAAGATCAACGAAGAGCTCACTACCATAGCAAGCGAGAGTGCTGCACACTGGTCGGCTCACGAATCTGCCATTGACGAAGCAGCTGAATATATCATCAAGATGGAAGAAGAGAAAGCTGCCCTCTCCCAGGAGCTTCAGGAGCTCAAGGAGCGAGTCGCTGCTATTGAACGTGTCTCTTCCGAAACCCCGCTCGCCGCTGGTCTTGACAAGTACCCATCACGTGTCTACAGCGTCGACGAATCGCGGCCTTCGACGAGCCATTTTGACTCGGACTACTATAGCCAACCTGCTTCACCCCAGCCAAAGCCAAGCAGCGAATCAGTCAATTCTTTGATGCCTTCAGAGCGATCAAGAAAATTTCTTGATTTGACCGAGCAACACAGACGATCAGCTCGCGATCTGGTCCAGCGCATGTCGGCAGCATCCCTAAGAGCACTTTGTGACGCAACTCCGTGCCCTATCTATCAACAGCAAATTGCTACTGTTGAAGAAGAAGATAGATCACCCACTCCCCGGAAAGCTTCTGTACAGCACCGCAGGGGCTATGAGGCTGCTTCACCAGCTTTGATGCCTGCTGCAGAAATTTGCCCTTCTCGGCCTTATACCGTGGCGCCATACTCAGAGACAGCATCCCACCCAGATGGCTTACGTGGCCTGTATCATCCTGATCGAGCTAGGAATCGCAGAGCAAACAACCTCCGCTCATCTTCGGGCCAATTTGAGAGCCCTACAAATACACATCGTCTTGCCACTCGTCCACAGACCACATACGAAACATGGCAACGGCCTGGATTTGCAGAGTCTGAAGTCGATCTTACATCGGTAGTCGATCCGTTAGAAGACAAAGAGCGGTGGTGGCGTAGCATGGACCGCCTAACTCTTGAACAAGTAATTGCTCGCTATACAACATTTGATAAACGGCCCCAATCTAACACGAATCCAGCAGCTATCCAAACCCGAGAACCGGCGAAGCTCAATGCTTTCGTCACTCCGATCCGATCGGTGATGAATGATAAAGACCTTCGACGAAGTAAGAAATCATGTGCTTCAGCCAAGGCTGATTTGTCGTATGTCTCTCTTCGCTAAACCTACTTGTCACAGGTCGAAGAGGGTGAAACTGTTCATTCTGGACGAAATGATCTATGGGAAGGTTGTTGTAATACCCTAATGACGTCTACGACCTTTAATATTTTCTTTACATCCTTCAACTGGCGTTTTACCAAAGAAGGAACCAATCAAAACGTACTCCACATCAGGAGGATAATGACGGCTAGGTGTAACATCAATCGTGCATCAGCATCACGAAGTACGGGTTTGGGTAAGTGTTTTTGTCCACTTGGAGTTTATTCAAGCAGGTATATACATGTGATACCTTGAAACTACATTGTTTCGTTGTGACTAGACAAAGTACATCTGTGTTGTACAATTATTATTATTATTATTATTGCTATCAGTATTAGTATAACTAGTTAATCCACTCTATTTCGGTCAATGTATGTCTACTACTCGGAATCTTCCGTAAGGAAGAATGTCATAATTCATCAATGCCACTACGTAGGCGACGTAAAGACTTATACATGCCTATATCCCATATTAGAAGATAATAGGTTTGTATCTGTGCAGAAGCGAAAACGAGGCAGACAAATATCCGCAGAAGTACATGGATCTCCCATCGTTTTCATCTGTTCATTCTTTGCTTTTCCCCTACATTTTTTTTTCTTGTCCGCCACCACGTGGTGTTGTTGTTTTTCAAGAGCAAAAGTAACATTGATGCAGCAACCTTGTCTTGTTCGCGCGCTCACGCACAGACGCCTTTGCACATGCCGCGCGCCTGTTTCCGTTTCCTAGCTCCCTGCCCCCACACTTCCCCCATCGTCATCGGACAGCTTCCACTCTCGTGTTATCCCATCTTTCCTTTGACCCCCCATTTTTACCATCACTCACGCGCTCTTTTTTTTTATATCTCACGCACGCGCAGACAAAGTCCCACCCAACACACCAGATATGCGCTCTTCGCCCTAATCCGCCTCGCCCTACCCTTTTTACCTTTCATACACGTGCGACTTGACAAGCGACCGGCGCAATGATATCCTCTGGCTTCACCAATGCGCCCGTCTCCCAGCTCCTCGTCTTCGGCACTGTCATTACGGCCCTCCTAGCTACACTTACCGATACAAGATACTATCTGCATATACTCGTTGTGCCGCATATCTGGGGTTATGGCCAGTTTTGGCGTTTTGTGACGTGGCAGGTACGTTTGGCTACGACTGTCTATTCTGGGGAGGGGGAATGTGAAGAGAGGAATACATGAGGAGGTCAAAGAAGCTAACGTGAGAGATCAGCTTAGCTACACGAATTCTACAGAGGTGCTATTCGCAGTTGTTTCGTTCTACCAACTACGCGTTATGGAGCGATTATGGGGAAGTCGCAAGTTTGCCGTAAGTTTTGACCTGTTTCTATTACCCGCAAAAAAGTGATCTCTTTTATAATAGGCAAAATAGCTAACAGGATATCCTGATTGAAACAGTCGTTCCTCGTTTCGACTCTGCCATACACCACACTCCTACCACCCCTCATCCTAACCTTTATCCTGCGGCCCCTCACGTTTGCGCATATGAACCACCTCTCCGCGGGACCTACTGCTATGCTCTTCGCCCTCATCGCAAACTACTACGCCGCCGTCCCATATACATATCGCTATAGCATCTCTCCGTGGGCACCTACCACAACTACCTCTGCATCCTCCTCACAATCTATAACCGCCCTCTGGTCGCGCAGCCTAACGCTAACATCAAAATCGCTCTCCTACCTCGCGCCTTTACAGCTCGCCTTCTCGCAGTTCCCCGGTTCCTTGCTCGCGGCTGCCATTGGCTGGGGTGTCGGCACCGCGTACCGGCGAGACTTGCTTCCTGGGGCTACCCGCTGGCGCGTCCCCGGATGGATGGTTGGCGAGGAGAATCGCGACTCGAGAGGCTTTGAGGGGCTGAGAGCCAGATTGGATGCAGAGAGGGAGAGAGAAGGCGGGGCTGGGGATGGACTCGCGACGGGGATATTGGCAGGAGAAACGGGAAATGCACAGCAGGCCAGGCAGAGGAGAACGTTGGGCGATGTCGTGGCCGAGCAGTTCAGAGGGAGGGGATAGTCTTTCCTTCTTCTTTCATTATCACTTCTGTCTTTCTTGGTTTCGTACGAGAGGGATGTGGCTGGTATAGGATACACATGTATATATTTGGTCAAATTATTGAGTATTGTCTTAGCCGTGACGAAGATGGAGAACCGAAAGAGAACCTAGTCATGTGCGACAATGTAGCATATATTGATCATTTCACCCTTCTCTGTTTTCACCTTTCCTAACTTTTGACCCTGACCTCTTTGTACAGGTTGACTCCTCACAAAAATCAAAAGCTTCATTCTCAAATAGCAGACAGAAGCAGTCAAGTATACACATGATATATCTTGTTGCACAAGATGAGTAAAATAAACTCAACATGTTGGTAAATGGCGTCATGCACTCTGACTTGCAGCAAAATACTACGATCAAATGACAAGGTAAAAAGTATTCATTGAAATAGATTGGAAGTGTTTAACATACCAATTAAAGTGTACCCCGAAAAGATATGCCCGTCACAAAACCGAACGAGGCTACCATCAGTCACCAGAAACGCCGCCATCATCATGCAAGACAACGTCTGTCTTTCTAAGGATTAATATTTAGTGCTTGCCCCTGTCGTCACTGCGCGCCGCACTCTTCTTCTTCTCGGCTAACGCCGTCTCGTGCTCAGCCAGCTTTTCCTCCGAGGAACCGTCCTCCTTGAAAACCCTGGCACGGTCGACTGAGCCAGGAATGTACTCAGGTAGTTCGCTGCGACCGATAAGAGTAACCAGGATGCTGGCACCGACAATCATGGTGAGAACAAAGCGGTATACGGCGTACCAGTCGGGAGTCCAGCCACGGTATGCAGCTCCTATAGTTGATCACGTCAGTCATTGAATAAAAACGCAAAAAAAAAGTAATACCATGGTGAATACTCACGGGTATCAACATAGTAAAGTGCAGTGAATCCCAGGAATTGAGTAATTAGTGCACCCTCGATAGGCATCATGAGTGTAGACCAGGCTACCATAGGCGTCACGACACCGATGGCGTACCGCTTGTATCCTTGGTAACCACCGTAACCCGCCCACTCGAGTCCCCAGTGAATGGCACCAAGAAAGCTGAGAATCGAAGCGCCGTATCCGACCTGGAGGGGCTCAATGAGATGCAGCAGGTATGTAGCGTTCTTCTCTGAAATCATGAAGCCGTAGCCGGCAGTCGAGTGGTTGAGTTCCCACGACAGGTAGACGGTCGAGAGCGAAGTTGCGAGATAAGGAAGCGTGCCAGCGAGACCCAGGTAGAATGCTTCGCGGGGGACTGCGGCAAGAGAAAATGTGTCTTTGACCGTGTTCTATCCAAATGTTAGCTACATGAAGGGACATTTGGTAAGAAAATGGTGCGCTCCGATACATACCACATCATGCTTCATATCGGCCATCATATCCACCTCCTTCTGCGGCCTGTCGCCACCAATCTCAGAAAATATGGGGTGTGTAGTACTGGAGCTCGTGACCGTTTCTGGCGTGGGTTTTATTTCCTCATTTCTGTATCTGCTCTCGGCCTGCTTCTGTCCCTCTGTCAACTTGCCATCAGCCATGCATCGGCGCAAGATGGCGGATGAGGCCGGCTTTAGTGCATTTGCTGCTTGACGCAACTGCGGCCTCTTTGCAGCCAGCGACCCGAACTGTGTTTGCCATTGGAGTGATGGCGCTGTGCGGGAGAAGCATGCCGCTGGCCGGGAAGCTATAGGTGCCGCGACGGACCTTAACGCTAGACGCGACGCTCCGTTGCGAAGCATATTAGATTGATGATAGAGGGAGCACACGGGAAAGAGAAAAGTGCGGATAATAGACCGGGTGAATCCACACACACACACACTGCAACAGAACAAGAGGCTGAATATGAAAAAAAGTAAGAAAAGAATAGAGAGAGGGCAGAAAAGGCTCAACTTTGCATTTGTGATTGAAGATGCAAGCTCCCCCGCAAAATGACGCGCGACACTACTGTGACGTCATGCTTGATCCTCAGCTACGACTACATCACAACGCCGGCCATGGTTCGGCATCGTAGCCGCCATCCTTGCCAAGCGGTGGATCGAAACGGTCCTGCGACCCATAAATATCTTGGACATACTGTCGAAATCAGGCAATCAGTCTTTTCACTGTCGTTCCCAGAGTCGGCCCGACGGCCTAGAGGCAAAGTCCACCTATCCCTGTTTTCAGCTGGTTATCAAGATACCAAGAGCCGGTAATCACATTTGCTAGTAAATGACTGCATTGAGTGTCGATAGAAATTGTCATTGCCTTAGGTCATAGAGTAAAGAATACACATTACAAGAATCAATCCGTACAAGCCAAAATAACCACACTATGCTGTGTACTGAGAATCAAATTATGCCTCGGGATCCACCCTCCTTCCAGCCATTTCGATCAACCCTTCGCATTCCATCGGTCATTGTACGCATTGACCCCCACAGCAACCTGGCGGTAGAACCAGTTCCTGCTTCCCTCGTCACTGACAGGAATGAATGGCCCATTTGTACCTCCTTTCAGCGTAATGGCCAATCCTGTCCTCTCCTTGCTGATCGTCTGTACATCCTTGAGTGGCACATCCCACTCGGTTTGCAGCTTCTTCGTGCGCACCATCATGAGGCCGTTGTAGGTGAGCATGACGAGCATCTCCTTGTTTTGCAGCTCGAGATGCGCAATGTAGTCCTCGTTGAAGTATTTGCCGTTGTCAAGCGTCTTCAACCAAAACTGTCCAAGCGCTTCACGCTGAGAGTACGGTCGCACAATGCCATCCGTGCCAATGAAACGCGTCAGGCGCACACGGTCGAGGCCCTCCTGGTCAAACACTGTGGTTGTATTGCGCACGCCTTCAGCCATGTTGGACGCAAGATCAAAGGCTCCAATCGCAGCCTTGGTAGGTACACCGAGCAGCCCCTTTCCGACGCCTTTGACAAAACCAAGAGCACCCTCCTTTTCTGCCCCTTGAATGGGGTGGCGAGCAAGGCCACCGAGCCCACTGGCTAAACTGCTGGCAAAAGCATTGCCACCGGACGTAATACCGTAAAGGGCATGCTTGGGCCGGTTGCGAGAGCGGGACATGCGACGCGAATCCTGGAACTCCTTGTCGAGAGTTGCCGCAGAGAGACCCTTTGACATACTGCCAGTAAACTTGGCCATACTGTCTGAGAAGCCAAACACCGATTTCTTGACAAAACTCGATGCACCCTTTGCGATACCGATACCAAGATCCTCAGGACGATCAGATTTGACCAGACCCTGGTACGGCTCGTAGAAGATATCCGCAACGCCAGAGCTGATGTTGTTGAAGAGACCGACCGGGTTGCCAAGGAAATCGGCAGATCCAATAATCACGTGGACTTGTCGCAGTGACTCTTGAACATAGTGGTTCTTGATATTGTTGATCAATGCGGTTGTCGAGATACGAGCGTTCTCAAGCATCAACGAGTTGTATCGTACTGGTGCATCGTTGACATTGCCAATCGACATGGTAAGAACGTTGACTGCGAACATGAATGGATTGGAAGTAGTCATGGTGTCTTCTGCATTGATACGCTCCGTCCGGACAAATGAAAGATCGATTTGCATAGGCTGAAGATGTAGGAGCTCGAAGTAGACATCTTGGCCAGACTGTTCTTGCTTTGGTTCGGGAATACTGAGGTTTTCATCCCACAGCTTGCCTTGCTTCTCTTCAGTCCAAGACGCACCAGGTATATTCGCGAAGTCGATCATGGCAAAGATGAAGTCTTCATCGATTTCGACAGTCATCTGCTGAAGCAAGAATGTGAAGTACTTGATGTACAAGACACCATACGAGTCATCCTTGACTTTAGTGATTGTGGTCTGGAAGATAGGGTGTGCCTCCATCTCCTTTCCGGTCTTTGGAACAACACTGGGATAGAAGATGATGGGGAAGATACCGCCGTAAAGCTGGTTGTCGACCTGAATCCACTTGACCTGCATATTGACCATCTGGTACAGCGGTGAGTCCGAGTACTTCAGCTCAATGTCACGGAGCGTAACGTAGACCAGCTCCTTCAGGTGACGATTGACGAGCGAAATGCCAATACCAGCAAGCCGTAGCTGTACTTTAAAGGTGACATCCGTATCCATGTCCTTGACTTCGAATCCGGTCGTTGTTGATGATGACCCTGCAGACTTTTGCTTATACATGCTCTTCGAGGGTTTGTAATTTGCTATTTCCAGAGTCTGCGTAGGACCTGCAGCAACGACGTTGAGATCAATAACCTTCATGCCTCCACCTTCTTGACCAGGTGGAATCTTGAATGGAATGAGCGGTCCAATCTCGGCGAGTTTGACATGTCGCTCTCGACCATTGGCACTAATCACAATTTCTTTGTTCCTCGCTGCTGGGAAATCCCATGCGTATGGCATGATGCTTCGAGGAGGCAGACGGTACCTGATCGGCCGGAAGCCAGAGCCGCGGTCATCTTCATCCTCATCTAGGTTTGGGTTTACTTGCCAATACAAGAACTCTTGATCGCTCATGTTCTTGAAAGAGAATGGCCAGTGCTTGTTCTCAACACTGATGTGACAGAATATGGTTGCTGCTTCCATGAGAATGTCCACACGGACGAGCTTTTGGCGTTGGCCAGCCTTGGAAAGCTTGACATGTACATTGCCAACATTGGAGATATTAAAAGGTGACGACCATTGGTTGTTAACACCGGGGTAACAGAGTGACAGCTGGGGTGCGCCACCTTGTCGCAACCATCGAAGCGGGAAAAGCTCGCCGTCCTTCACCGTCATCCAATCAGATTGTCCAGGTTCACGGATAAGCAGTTCTTCCTTCATCTTATTGTTGATGATGAAGCGTGGCGCGATGGAGACGGTCTTGGTCAAGTTATACTTGCCCTCGCCCTCTGAGACGGACACACCAAGGTGCATGTCAGAACGCGTTTTGACAGACGGCAAAGCCACTGTGTATGTGCTACCAATTGCGTCGAAACTCTGAGGTTTGCTCCAATTGGAATCGCCAACCCTTATCAGAGCACGGTTCTTCTTGTTCTCGGTTGGGTAAGAGAACATGAAGGGTAAGCCCTTGCCAGTATCCTCTTGGTTGTCCGTGACAACGCCTTGCCCGGCAGCGGCTCGTCCTGAGGCCATGGATTGCTGTGCTCGAACATCCAGCTGTAGTCCAGTGCGGTTGAGTATGATGTATGGACTGTAGATGGCTACCTTGAAAGCGCCACCGCCA